TTTTTTTTTTTTTTTTTTTTGGTTGTTGATAGGGGGGGTTGAAATGTCTGGAGAGTTCTTTGTAGGGTATGTATGTACGTACCTACGTAGTTACATGTTGAAACCAGAGACGTAGATAGCGACTAACTTAGGTAGTTAACTAGCCCTAGCCTACGTGCCTACTAGACTAACAATGTACCGTCGGAAGCCTAACTCTATCGTGTGAGAAAGAGTTGCGCGTCTCCTCCGTCCGTTGGAAGGGGGTAAAAAAAAATTAAGGATTGTTGAAACCATCGAACCCATCCTTCTAACCCTAACACATTTTTTCCACGCAATCACCTAAGCTAACCTTTTCCTTTCTTCCCCATTAAAAAAATTCCTATTCAAAAAAACCCCCGTCGAAGTTCAGTTGAAGCCTGGCTCCGCCTCACCCACCCACACACATGCTACCTCGGCCCCCCATCAACCCCCGCCCGTTCGTTCCCCCTCCCCCCACACACACTCACATCCACACCCACCCCTCAAAAAAAAAAAAAGTATCACCAAAAAACAACAAAAAATAATCTTATGAAGAAGGGCTCCACCGCGATTCGAACGCGGGGCCTCCTGCAAGTTTGAGCTGTGAACCCCTGTGATTGCACTGTTAGAAAACTGTTTTGATTCTCAAATTTGATTGCTGTGAAGAACTTACAAAGCAGGAATCATACCACTAGACCATGAAGCCATTTGCTGTGTTTGATGAGAGTATCGCGACAAATAAGATATATATAGTTGGAGACTGAAGGGCGGTGGGGTGTTGCGGATGACGCATGACGCGTTGTTTTGGGGTTGGAATGGCGGGGGCTGTGTAAAGAGAGAAAGGGAAAGGTGTCCCGATTTCGTGTTGAGGCGTGGGGCTTGAGCGAATGGGGAACTTCGGCTGATCTACAGTCTACGTTTTACTGTGTATGTTGTTCGTTTGCTTGCATTTTAGTTGATTTAACTTGGCTAAAGAATCTACATATGCACAGGTGTTTTGTAAATTTCGATGGCTCGAAGGTTTGGTTTTTGGGTTTCACATATGATTTTTTTGGTGTGTGTGTACAACAATGAAGTTCGTTCGCATTCGAAGATGACGCCTGAGCCATGGGTGAGCGGATATGGACGCAGGGACGTACAAGTACGGCGCATTACATCTAGCAAAAAGACATTGCATAACATCATGAAGGTTTTAATTTTTGCTAGTCATACAATGTACATGTACCCAGAAAAGACACACACATGATAGATACAACTACTCGGCGACCCAAACAGCAGCCATGCCCATACCCGTTCCAATGCACATGCTAGTCACGCCAATCTTCTGACCCGTCCTCTTCAGCTCCGTGAGCAGCGTGCTGACCTGCCTGGCGCCCGTCACGCCGAGCGGGTGTCCAAAGGCAATCGCGCCACCCTTGGGGTTCACCTTCTTGACATCTATGCCGAGCTCGTTGATGCAGTACAAGCACTGGCTGGCAAAAGCCTCGTTGATCTCCCAAATGTCGACGTCGTCCTTGTTCAGGCCGGTCTTTTTGAGCACGACGGGGATGGCGGCTGCGGGGCCCACACCCATGAGCAGCGGCGGGACGCCGACGATGGAGGCTTGCACAAACTTGCCTACGATCTTTTGGCCGAGGCGCTGAGCGGTGCTGCGCTTCATGAGCAGAACGGCCGCCGCGCCATCGGAGATTTGCGACGCATTGCCTGCGTGGATGGAACCGTCTTTGGCGAAGGCGGCCTTGATCTTGGACAAGCTTTCCGGGGTGATGCCCTCCCTGACGCCATCATCTCTGCTGACGGTGATGGTCTTTTCCTCGTCCGTCTTGGGGTCTGTCCACTTGACCTTCAGAGGCGCAATTTCCTCGTCAAAGAGACCCTTCTTCTGCGCCTCGACGGCTTTGTGGAACGAAGAGGCGGCGAATTTATCCTGCTCCGCGCGGGAGATTCCCTTTTCCTTGGCCATTTTCTCGGAGAGGACACCCATGGGAACCTTGCACTCTGCCGCGGTCTTGTGGTTTTCTAGCAACTCACTGAACTCAGTCACAGCCTGGGGTCCATATTGTGTGCTCATGCTCTCGGCGCCGGCGCCGATGCCAATCTCGATGACGCCTGCGCGGATGGCGTTCGCAATGTCGACACACGCCTGGAGACCAGAGCTGCACTGTCGGTTGAGGGACTTGACGGCGGCGGAGACAGGGAAACCTGCTGCGAGGGCGGCAGCACGGAACTCGGTAGCACCGCCTCCAGGAGCGAGCACAGTTCCGACAGCGATGTCTTCTACGAGGGAAGGATCGATTCCGGATCGCTGGATGAGCGAGGTGAATGCGCCATGGAGGAGATCGGCAGCTTGCGTGTCCTTGAAACCACCACGGCCACCTTTTGTGATGGGAGTGCGGAGAGCGCAGGTTACCACGATCTGGCAGTATGTTAGCTAGGGATCTGTGAGGGGTGAAGGATGCATAACAGGGCGCAGCACTGCGTCGCCACCCGTCTGATACAAGTTGAAAACGTAGTGCTCTGGGTGTGCTTGTGAAGAAATTCGTGTGAACATACATCGTCAGGGTGCTGTTCGAGCAGAGCTTGCTTTCCAGATTTCGAAGGACCGCTCAAGTGGTCGGTAACCTGTGAAAGGCGCTCTTGGGCTGGTATTAAACGTCAGCGTGTCATCCATCAACCTGAGTTTTACGGATTTTAGAACATACCCTTCTGACCGCGTCCGGTTTGATTTGCCATAATGAGATGCTGTAAATGTGAAATGAACTGTCAAAGAGATCACAGAGGAAGAATAGGTATGTTTGTGACAATGCGACGTAAGAAGCCGCGGTCTTTCTTAAAGTCGGACTTGGAACGACATCATCGACCGAGGCAATGGTCAAAACAGCTTAGCGCTCAAATTACCCCGGCTTTTCACATGCGCGTGGCACCGTTCAAAGGGTCTTCACATGTTTTTCGCTTTTGGAAACTATGACTTCTAAAGTGTCAAATTCGCATGTGTGGATAACTTACTCTTCAGCTCTACTCATAATGCTTGGCCAGAGAATAAATGAACGCAGACTGTGCAAGACGACACAGAACCTGATCCCGGGTCGAGGAATAACAGACGATAGCATCCACCAAGTATGCCAGACCATGTCCAGGAATTCTACAAGTACCTCTTGTAGAATGTTATACCGGTAACATGACCGCCTTTCATGTGCTCGAGAGAGGTTTAGCTACTTAGGCGGCCCTTCCGATGATGATTTCCTAGGCCTAAAATAATAGCGGCGCGTAGCGAGTGGAGCAATCCAGATGATCAGAAATACCCAAGAGAACTGCCCGCATGACTGATTACAAAGTTTAGCCACCAAAACGCCATGCTTCTGAAACCCGAAATGGAAAGAAAAAAAAAAAAGTCCGTTCACCGCTCGAGGTTACTTGGACTACGAAGCCTCCTCTCCAACTCATCTGCGACGCTGCGTTGTTGCACTTCCTCATAACCTGGTGGTGGTTCGTTTGGTGGTTGGAATGTCTCTTGGTGCGGGCTTGACACTGGACTCGACCTGTTCGGTTCTGATGAGTTTGATGCTGCGCCTACACTCCCTCTATCTGCTGGAGGACTAGGCAGAGGATCTGGCACTCTTGTATCCCTTCTAGCATCCTCATACGCGGGTAGGTCTTCGAGATGTACGTTGGTCAAATTGACGCCCGACAATGCCCCTCCACCGCGTCCATCGCCCGTCTCTGTTCCATCTCCAGCCGACATGCCAGCTACATCGACAGCTTGACGCAGCCGGTCCTTTAACCTGTCAAATGTGCTGGCAAAGTCAAACGCACCCCCTTCCTTGAACTCCATCACCAGTTCCAGTTCCGCAAACTGTGGAGGTATGCCCCCACCATAGACGGGTTGTATGACGGCCTCCCACTTGTTGGCTCCAAACCAGGGCGCTGTTACACGAGTATCTGAGACGTTGAGGATGGGGACGGCGAAGGACTGCAAATCTGCATTCGGAGCAACGGGTAAATAGATGAACTGCATGTAGCCGTTAGATGTCTAGCGCAGGTGGGAAGAAATCTGAGAGCAACAGCATACCCGTCTGTTGGTAAGATAGACCACGCCCGACTTGCACTGTTTGGAAAAAGCTTGGCTGGGTGGGTTTCGGTTGCTACTTTGCAGCGAGAGGGTGGTTCGAGGGGGCGATTGGTACAACGTCTGTTCTCCCGGCAGCGGCGTGTATCCACCGCCCTCGGCGAGCATCACCCAACTGTTCTTCTTGTCAGACTTGTTCTTCGGCATGCTGAAGGCCCTGCTTTTGCGGTAGAGAGCCATGGAGGGAGTTGTAATCGGTCCTTCGAGCTTGAGGTGGGCGTTCTGGAGCTCTGGGGATGCGTTCGCGGGGTAGTAAGGCAGGACAAGGGCCCAGGCAGACTGCACAAATGTATGCCGCCAACAATACACAACAAGAGACTCACTTTATGGACATGATGAGATTCGCTTTGCGAATTCCGGAGATGCTGAGCTTTCTATATTTCGCGATAAAGAAGCAGCAGGTAATAGTCGGCGCCTAGCTCGCTCAACGTCGAACACTTCACGCCGCCGAGCTCGTGGACAGCTGCGGGAAGAAGGGCTAGAAGAGGGGGAACGCGCCCTAGCCGCGTCAGAGGGTCCACTTGCTTTCCTGTGATGGTTAGAAAATGAGCGGCCCGATGCCCGTATCAAATCTTTGCGGCAAAGGCGATGCGAGCGAGGTGATGGCGAGTAAGTTGAAGTTGCCGGTTGAGTTGCTGAGGTCGTATTGCGGGGCGTAAGAGTGTGGTGGCGCTTGTGCGTTCAGCGAGATGGCTTGATGGGGGTTGAGAAACTTGTCAAAGCAGTCGATTTAGGAGGCGCGATAGAAGAAATATATCCGTCTATGATCAAAAGCCAAATGCAAAGTAAGGTACATCGTGACTCTCTTGCACATCATCACTCGCATGGTCTGCCTGTCACGTGTTCGCTTGCGTCACCCAATTCCAGCCGATGAATGGGGGAGTGAATCATCAGGTAAAAACGATTGGATTTACTCTAATGCCTTAGCTCTAACGTCGTGAATCATCATGCTACGGAAAGAAAAAAAGAGGGTATCAAATGCCAATTCTCTGGACGCCGGCGCCAAACTCATTCGTCACGAAACACCAATGAATGCATCATACACTCCAACCTAGTGCTGCTTTTCTGGCACCGTTCCTTCCAAACGGAAAGGATGCGCCTCAGTATTGAAGACCCAGTCGTCCAAGCTCATCTCTCCGGGCGGGCTGAAGATAAGGTAGAAATACTTTAAGCTTCCGGAGAGCCAGTAAGACTCCATCTTGTCTTCTTTTGCACTGTTCCCCACCATTACGTTCTCAATGCCAGCGTTGGCTAGGTTCGTTCGTGTCATTCTCTCAATCTTCTGGAACATGTCCCAAGCGATGTCCTGATATGCGGAATCGCCGGTGATGCGATACATGTAAAAGACGGACTCGATAGTTTCGGGTCGGAGCAGATAACGCGGATCAGAGACTTCTTTAAATCCAGGATGCACTTGCGCCAGCGAGCCGTTGTACGCACACGTATCGTGGGATGGACACGCCGTCATCGTAGAGGTCTCGGGCATGATGCCGTTCGGAGCGTTTCTATATGCCCAGACGCAGCCATCCGTCACCTTGCGACCATACTCGACATACGTCTCATTCTGCACCAGGCGACCA